GTGAAGGATCCTGGGGTGGCAGTCGCATCGAGCCGTGGACCTTGGTTTGGGTGGGGTGGGCCTCCATCCTGCCAGTCCCGGGTGGTGGGAGTCCCCAGTGTACTCAGCACACCGAGCTGTCCTCCTGTCTGTGGTCCAAGTGTGCTGACATGCGCTAGCCCCACCCATCCGCTAACCTGTCCCTCTCCTCCAGAGGCAGAGTGGCCGTGGCCGTGGGGCAGACCAGCCCGGGAGCCAGATGAGCAGAGAGGTCTGTGTGCACTCCTGGCCTTGCTCCTACTACTTAGAACCGGAGAAGCGATGGGTTCCTGGAAAGCTTTCATTAAGTTCTCACTCCCTGAGATTTACAACTGATAAAACCGGGGAGGCCCTGGTCAGCTTCCCCCTGTCTAGTGTGATTGAGATCAAGAAGGAGGCTTCTCACTTTGTCTTCAGTTCTATCACCGTCCTGGAGAAGAACCACCTCAAGCACTGGTTCAGCTCCTTGCAGCCCAGTCAGAGTGCAGTCTTCACCATCATTGAGCATTTGTGGAGAGAGCTACTGCTGTCTCCATCGGAAGCACCGCTCCCTGTGACGAAGGGGAAGCAGCTGACTGGTCTGATGGCCTGTTCCCAGAAGTGCCTGGAAGAGACAGCCTGAGTCCTCCACCATCAGAGCGAGCAGCTGGACAGCATCACCAAGGGCCTGGACAAGATGGAATCTGACCTGGACGTGGCTGACAGGTACAGGGGGCGTTTCGGACACATGGGTCACGCCCCTGCCATGCGCAGTGACGCCGGGTGGGTGTTGGTGAGGGACACATTCTGTGCCTGGTGCAGAGCTCCAGTCTTGTATGAATAAGGAAGGCTACCTCGTTTCATCCTGTGGGGGAAACAGGCTGAGGGGCCAGGTTACACACATGAAGTTGCTGTTCTGCACGGCCATGTGGCCGCAGGGTTTGAGCTGAAGCTCTTTGGCTCCAGGAGCTGCTGGCTCTGCTGCGACACCACCCACTCCCAAACCAGGGACCCCCTCCAGTCTTCTAAACAGTGGGGGCCCCAGGGAGCTTTTGTTTATGTGGCTGTGTGTGCTGACATTGCCGCATTTCTTTAATGTTCTTTTAACAAAAGGCCAACTGATAGGGCCCCTGGGTGGCTCAGTCGTTGGGCGTCTGCCTTTGGCTGGGGTCGTGATCCCAGGGTCCTGGAATCAGTCCCACATCGGGCTCCCTGCTCAGCGAGAAGCCTCCTTCTTCCTCTCCCGCTCCCCCTGGTCGTGTTCCCTCTCTTGCTGTATTTCTCTCTGTCAAATAAATAAAATCTTAAAAAACAAAACAAAACAAAACACAAAAGTGAGAAGATGAACCTGAGGCTAGAGAAGATGCTTGTAGTATCCACTTGTATTCTCACCCGGGGATTCATACCCAGCTAGGTAGAGAGCTCATATGTCAGAATGAGAAAAAGCCAGTTCGGTAGATAAATGGGCAGGACCATTGATTGGAGTGTAGGGTTGGCTGCTGTCATGGAGATCCTCAGATCCTGCGGCTTACAGAAGCTGGGAGGCTATTTCCCCCACACAGAGGTGCAGGGGAAGGTCGGCGTCCTGGGCAAGTCGAAGACTCTGCTCTGGGTCACGCCCCGGGGCCCCGTGTTGGCTCCGTGGCTGCGTCAGAATCTGTTGGCAGCACTCTTCCCAGCCACTGGGAAGGGGGCACAGGGAGGCCAGGGCACATGGCCTTGTTTTTAAGCAGATGAGCCCAGCCCATGAAAGGGAGGTACTGGCACCCCAGTAATTAGAGAAAGGTAAATTAAACCAACAAGTACAGATGTGAGACAACACCGACTGATGGTCAGGGTGTGGGTCGGGACGAGACGGCTTGTGTCGCTGTCACTGATGGGACCTGGCCCGGCCCCCGGCAAGACCTAGCTAAGCCGAAGGTGCACAGACCCCATGACGAAGCCCAGCGTGTGTGGATGGGCACATTCACTGAGGCAGCTGTAGTCAGTCGATCCTCAAGGGGATGCAGTAATTAGTCACTACTATGTAGTTTTTGGAAAGAGGTGAGGTCCAGAGCCTATGGCCAAGGAAGAATTCTTGAGATGTCCTCAGTGCAAAATGGTGGTTTTATTAAAACACAGGGACGGAAACTTGGGCGGAAAGAGCTGCTGCTGGGGGGTATGAGGAGCAAATGATGCTGTACTTTGGGGTGGGGTGGGGAGTAAAGGGAGGTTCCAAAAGGATCTTCATCTGCTAAGGATGACATGGGTTACCAGAGCCCTTGCTATTGTCAGACCAAGGTGGTTTTTCCTTGTAGCCAGGCATTAATGGTAACGCAATATTTGTCGGTAGGCTGCAGGGTAGAAGGACAAAACATTTTATCTACCTTTCCTTCTGCCTTTGTTTCCCACATCACTGCCAACTCGGATTCAAGACACTGATTCCTTTTAGATCTGCACAGACTGACTTGGATCCACCTCAAAGCAATGTTAATAACACAAAACCAAGTTGAAAGTAGATGTGTACAAAAGCAAAATTTATAAGAGTTTTTAAATGGGTAAAGTAGCAAAAATGCAGGGAGCACTGAACTGCAAAAGGCCACGCTGGAGGGGCATGCACAGGGCCACACGTGCCGCGGTTCCACAGCGAGCTCCCACAGAGCCGCCAATGGGTGCTCCTCGTGGGGGTCTCCTGGCTCTTGGGGGTCGTTGGCACAGGTGTTCGGTGAGCATGTGATGCAGTTCTGCCTTTCAGTTTTAAAGTGTGTTCCTTCTGGAATGCCCGTTGTCTGGTTATCGGCCATCCTGGATTGATCTTCTGATAGTGTTCTCATTTTTCTCCTTGTCTTTTTGTTCTACTATTTCTTGAGTTTCATCTTCGAGGTGGTCACCATAATGGACAGCAGAGCCAAAGCCGTGATCAGAATAGTCTGACTCTGAGAGACCTGTGCTCCTGGAGGAGAAGTAGATGGGCAGTTGACCCAGTTCTTTTTTTTTAAGATTTTATTTATTTATTTGACAGAGAAAGACATAGCAAGAGAGGGAACACGAGCAAGGAGAGGGACAGGGAGCCCGATGCGGGGCTCAATCCCAGGACCCCAGGATCACCCAGGTGCCCCAGTTGACCCAGTTCATACTTTGGCCGGGTCAAGTGAGCAAGCCTCTAACTTGAATTAAAAAGCACTCATGGCCCCTGAATCAGCTCCCAGACTTGAAGACTGAGTTTGCAGTTTCGAAACCCCTTGAATGATGGGGAAGCTGGAAGCACCCCAGTTTGCTCCTAAAAGTTACACCTTTGGGAACCCCTGGGTGGCTCAGTTGGCTAAGCATCTGCCTTTGGCTTAGGTCATGATCCCAGGGTCCTGCGATCAAGCCCCACATCAGGCTCCTTGCTCTGTGAGGAGCCCACTTCTCCCTCTCCTCCCCACTTGTACTCTCTCACTGTCTCTCCTTCTCACTCACTCAAATAAATAAATAAAAGCTTTATTAATTAATTAATTAACTAAAGTTTACACCTTTGTTCTTTCTCCCAGCATTCCCCCATGGGACTTGTGGCATTTAACCAGGGTGGTCGTGCACTGGGGAGCAGGAAGCCACCAGACATTTTGGGACCCCTGGATGCTGGAACTGACCCGATGGCAGCAGGCCAGTCAGAGTAGGGGCTTCTGGGGGTCAAGGGATCAGTGGAGTTCTAACTGAGGTCTGCCTCATAGTGTCACAGTGGGCCCAGTAGGCCCCGAACCCATCCCAGTCCTGGAGCACATCATCCAGCAGCAGGCACAATCGCACACTGGTTCCCTGACCTCTGTAGTGAGGGCTGTTCTGGTGGCCAAGCCAAGTGGGAGCCTCTGGACTGCCTAGAATAGTAAACTCTTCTTGGAGGGATTTCTGAGATCAGTGTCCCCATCAAGGACTGGAAGGGTGCATGGGTAGTGAGCCCTGCATCATCTGCACTCAGCTCACTCACTCGACGGTGCAGAACAAAGATGGATTGTCTTAAACTTACCAGGTGGTACTCTTAATTGCAGTTGCTGTTCCCGATGCTTGAGCAAATGAACACATCCTCTGGAACATTCTCTGCAGTGGTCTGTCTGGCAAATGCTCTTAGGAAGGACCACCAGATCAGCTTGCTTTCAGCCACCAGCAGTGCATTGTATCATCCCACCTCAGGGGTATACCAGCTCTCCAGCCCTGTGTCATGCTTTATGTCACAGGGCCCTTGACTGTCTCTCCGTTTACAGGATAGCATGCTGGCCCATTACATGGGGGATACCATGCGGACTGGCTCAAGTAAGAAGTAGCTACTGTAGATGCACTGGAAAGATGTTTGCTTGTCAGAGGTGGGAAATAAATCTGACAGAAATTAGATACTTTCATCCTCATTGAAATTTCTAGGGATCCAGTGGAGTGGGGCTTGCTGAGGTTTCTTTTTACGGTGAAGGATAGATTTTGCATCTGGCTCTTCCTACAACCAAAAGGAAGACGCACTTGGGGTGTCTGGGTGGCTCAGTTGGTTAAGCATCCAACTCTTGGTTTCAGCTCAGGTCATGATCTCAGGGTCATGAGATTGAGCCCCACATCATGCTCTATACCCAGTTGGAAGTCTGCTTGAGATTCTTTCCCTCTCCCTCTCCCTCTCCTCTTCCCCCCCACTCACATACATGTTTGTGCATGCACGCTCTCTCTCTCTCTCTCTGTCTCAAATAAATAAAATTTACAAAAGAAAAAAACAAGACTAAAAGGAGACATGGCGCCTAGTGAGTCCCTTAGCATTTTGGAAGCGACATACTCTTCATTTGGGTGTGCTACTCTGGCCAGTTACCAAGTGACTTGAAAAGATGCTAGTTTTCAGTGGAGTCCGGAATAAGAAGGCTCTGTAGCAGGTCCAGGTGCCACCTGGGCCACATGATCCAGCAGATCCAGTGGCGCTCCAAGTATCTGCAGTAGACAAAGGTGCTCTTTGGAGCCTTTGTGGACCTTTATAGGGAGTCACAGTGTAGGATTTCAAAACAGAGCCCTGCTACAGGAGATCAGGCTCTAGCAGGCCCTGAAAACATATGCTAGGTCACATGGCCCCCACTCCTGCCATACCACCTTTTCTCTCCCAGCCTGCACCGAGAGCACATTCCCTACCTGGGGAACACCCTACAGTCAGTTGACTGAGGAGGAAAATTGTGGAGCCTGGTTTACAGATGGTTTTGTGCAATATGCAGGCATGACTCAGAAATCCTCCCAGTGGGCTGAACTTCAAGCCATGCACCTGAAAATTCATTGTGTTGGAAAGGCAGTCTTGTGCTTAAAGTCTTTTGACACACTCTCAGCCTCATAAGAATGGGTTTTAGGCCTGGAACATATAGCCTGTGCCAGACTTATCCCCTAGTAGGGAAATGGCTTTCCCTGTTACAGGCTCAACCAGTGCTCTTTTGTTCTACAGAAGCATGCATGTGAGTGGCTCTCAGGCACACCCCCAGTCTTCTGTATTTCAGACTCCATAGTTGGGGGGTGGGGCGTTGGTCCTTGAGCTGAAGCGTTAGAGGGATGTACATAAGCCAGTTGTCCTGCATCGGCTGCCAGGGGCACCTGATGTCCGTGATGTACCAGTGCCTACATTGGACCTGATTTTGTTCCGTCTCTTCTCCATGTGAGTAAAGCTGGGTAAAGCATTGCTCCATCCAGTGCTTGACCATGTGTTCTGTGGTAACTCCAAGATGGCTGTGGGCAGACGTGTTCGGAGGCCCCTGAGATTG